TATTGCACTGAAAAAACGTCGCGTGTAATTATTGCATTGAAAAAACGTCGCGTGTAATTCTGAAGAAAAAAACGGCAAGTGTAATTTTGAAGGGGAAAAAACGACGAGTGTAATGGTAAAAAAAAACGGCGAGTGTTTACAGTCATGGACCTTTTCGGCCATCTTAAAACCATATTCAAAGCTGCAGGCCTGAAGCTGTAGTAAGAATATGAAACCAATGAGTTGTTTATGAGTATATAGTAAACCTGCACCTGCACCACTGAGCTATATAAATGTCCTGCACCGGTGGAGTGACATGTTTCACTTCCCCACTTACCCTACCCTACAAAGTGATCAATCGTATATCGCCTGTATACTATGGCGCATTGGAATGAACGTAATGACCAGGGCGCTTATATATCGGGCGGCGAAACGAGGATAGGCGCGCTGATCGATGTGTGATGCGTTGCCTTAATTTTCGGGCGGCCAAACAATTAAAGATGGCGGCCGAGATGAGCAGTTCGGAATCATCATTTGTCCTTAATTCTGCTTTAGTTAACAACGAATTTTCTTCAGATGATGATTCCGAAAGTGATTTTACTATTTCCGAACCATACGACTCCCATGTTGACTTCTCTAGTATATCGTCAAGTATTATTACAGCAAAAATTTGGTCTCGTTTTTGCAAACACTTCGTGAAGGCAACATATCACATATATTTTCAAACAAAGGAGATATTTTAACATTGGTATTCGAAGCAGTATTGGACGAAAATAAGTCTATTCTTAAGGAAGAGTTTTTGCAAGACGTTTTACGTTTAGTCGAAGCTTGTTTTACCAAGGCTGAAATGGAAAAAACTCGACAGAAGAAAGCAGTAATTTTGGAGAGGGAATTTGGTATGACAAGGTTCAGCAGTTTTTACCATTACGCAATCAAACAGTCATGGGGAAAACTTATTGGTTATGATGTCTTAAGCGAGAACACTAATTTTCATCAAGCATCAGAGCAATTATTGCAGCAAATTCTGCAGCACTTTTGGTCTTTGAATAGTGGGATGGCGTTTACTATTGTGGAAAGCATTTATGATGGAGAAAGTCAAAGTGGCACTGGAGAATCACTGAAATATTGTGATGAAAGCGATTTTGATTCTATTCGAGACCATGGTGGTTGGGACATTAAACGGACTAGGGAGAACATTTTGAAGGGTGAAAGTGATGTTCGAGCTAAAGAGTCGGTTGGTGGGTCAGAGGTTGTTCATGGTGATAAAGGAGATGCAATGAAGATAATTGCAACCATGGGAGAGGATGTGAAGCAACCGGATGGAAAATTTCGCTTTATTATCCACAAGAATATTATTTCATTTTTTTTGTTGTTCATAATCTTGCTGAAAGCCTGATTGATCTTAGAAATCTGGCACTTGAAAAAGGAAACATTTTGACCAGTTGTCTTGAAAAATTGTCGATGAATAAGGAGCTAAGAGACAAATGGAATGACATAACATCAACAACACCCAATGCAACATCAGTGTTTGTTCTGCAATAGACCTTTTTCATCAAATCAAAGCAGCAAATAATTCGAGAGAAAAGAGGGCTAAAACCAAATAAGAAGTCCATGGCAATTCGACAACAACTAAAGCATTCTAGTTTCCATACTTCAAAAGCAAAGCAAGCAAGTAAAGAAATTTTACAGTTAAGGTCAGAGAATCTGTCAACAGTTCATATCACTAATTTTATGGAATCATTGTCGACCTACTCCCACTCTGTGCAAGAAAAGATTTTGAAGAAACTGACTGGCCAAGAACTTTCTAAAGTATTAAAATCATTGGGCAAGCCGTCACTTTTGGGGAAGAAAAAAAGTCGACAAATTGGATTATTACTTGAACTTCTAAAAAGTGGTGACATTACAGTACTGTAATCAGTGGGACAATACACAGTTTTGAAAAAAGTAACTTTAGGTCCTTTGAGTTCACAACCAGCAGGAAACGGCTTCAACCCAATAGTTGGCAATATGCCTTAGTATTTTACTCTGTCTAATGCCAGATGATTTTACTTGTCTGTGGTAGGGTAATGTCATTGAATGGGTTAATACGTAACCCAAGTACCAATCAAGAATATTGCTTCCAATGTCACAATTAAAATTTCCATAAAGAAAGTAGTGTTTGCAAAAACAACCAATTAACAATATTGCTGTAGAAAGAAGCCGTTATGGGAGTCATTATACACTGGATGTGAACAACAATGTATTTTGTGACATAATTATTTCACTGGACAAACCAAAATATGATGGAAGGGCTTTTTGTTTTTTCAGTCCTCCCTATTACAACCTAAGAACAACATAATTATGTCCAGAAATTTGTTTGCCACCATTAAACATGATATGCATTTCTTTCATTTTTGACAATCATAACATGAAGGATAATATCTAAAATATTTCTATACAACATCACTTTTAATTGTTAATTTGATTGAAATCTTACATACTGTATCCCCATTTGCAATGCAATGACTCTTTACTTCATGTGTAAAACACAAAAATGACAATATTTCATCTCTGAGATGACTATAAATCAGATACTTACATATTTTCTAAAATGTCTTGAAATTTTCCAGTTTTCAATTACTGTAAAAACCTGGTCTTTTCCGGGGTACTCCGGTTTCCTCCCCACAAAGAATGTTTGAACAGGGCAGGTTAGGATTACTGCCTAATAGGCTCAAGACATGGAGTCATGACATTTTTGTGAAAAACATAGTTTTTCTCCAGGTACCTCGCACACAGAGAATGCTTACCAGCCTACATTCAGTGAGCCGAACTGAATCAGGCTTGTAATCATCGAGCCTGAGGCGACTAATCGTTTTAGCATAATTTCAGTATTGAAAAAGTTTTATTTATAAATGCAACTAATACACATGTTTGTTTTATGAATATAATTTCCCTAAATAATTTACTTCCACCCGATTTTTGAGAAAAGCAATAACTATAGTTACTACTGTTCTGAGCAGTAACTATTGCCTCAGAGTTACCGCTGAGGGAGCGAATTGGAATGCTCAAAGGCCATTTTTCAATACTAAAATTATACTAATAGTCAATAATGCTACCAGAGGTGCCCTAAAAAGCCTTCAACCCAATAACAATGAGCTGTGTCCTTGCAATTCAGCTAAAGTTCTCAATTGCAAGTAATGACAATTAGCAGAACCCCTCTTAGTACCTGTGCTGGATTATCTAAGGGGCATCATCAACCTCACTAACCTCAGTGTTTGCAGTAACAAATATATGCAATGTTAAATTAGAATATCTTCACCACTCACACATGCAGTTTTAATATAAAATATTCCAACCATACGGCATACGGTCGCACTAACTAGAAAAAAAAAACATTGGACACCACAGACAACATATACAGCTCTTGCTACATCAAGAAATTTTTCTGCAGTATAGCCCTTGACAGGACTTGACAGAGTTAATACTTTTTGACGACAATGACACATCCAGTAAGGAATAAAGAAGAAGTTCTTCAGGCTGCAATGGAATTTTACCATTGTACGCTAGGGGAGTAGGTTCTGCAGTTTTGTACAGACTTTCAAAGTCAGCCACAAGTTGATTTCTTTCGTTGCCGTCTAACAAAACGTCATTGCCTGAACAATTAACATCAGCTGCGGTTGAAATATCAAATTCCTTTGTTCGCTTTTTGGGAGGATGACAAGCAGCACTTCCTCGACGTTTACCAAAATTATCGCACATTTTAACGAAGTGTTTACAAAAATAAATTAATTGTAAAATTTCAAAACTGCATTTGTTTTGCTCGCACATATAAAAATGACGTGATAGCGTTGTCGTCATTTTGCTCGCCATTTTTTTAGTCAATCTACAAGCTACGTTCGACACATTCTCCTTCGTCTTCGAATTTTAGACAACGAATGTTAAAAACTAGTTTGAAGAAATCCATCAAAATTCGAAATAGATTAGCAGATAATGAAAGACATTCCTCTCGACTTGAAGTGTACAAATTTGCTAGGTCGGGAAAGCTTTTCACACTGAACGCGCGTCAGTTTAAATGAAGGAATTGATTTTGTCAAAATATTAAATGTGCATGAAAAACGTTTACAACTTTTTTGTTACCTTTACACAGTTCAGAAATTGTTGAAAACTGATTGATATTTCATAAACACTTGATAAATGTTGACGGTAGCCGTTTTAATAAGTTAATTTAACAACGCGATGCATCCAAAGATGAAACAATATAGCGAAAATAGTGCATGAATTCAGAGCAAAGCAGCTAAAAAACATCAACACCGATTTCTACGAGTATCTCCATATACGAACAGACAATAATAAGCTCAACACACCTGAAATACTATTACGTGGGGCAGCAAGTTGACTTGTCATATTTCCTTGTTGAACTTCTTGTCTCCTCATACCCTTACTTTTGACGACGTTTATCAAAACAGACGTAAGAAGAGTCCGGCGAACACAAAAAGCTCTTAGACGTTAAAGGAAACATTGCTTCGAAAGTATCGGTAATGTTAGCTGGTAATGTTAGCTATATTTGGTATCCCATTTCGCTGAACCGATTTGTAGTTTTTACTACCAGAAACACCCTGTTTTAAAAAAAAAAATGCGGAGGCGGCCGCCTGTGGGTAGCCAACTCATGTTTTGGCTTGCTCACGTGACTGGCAGCAGAGTGATCATCGCAACCGGATCATTCCGGTTTTAATTAAGGATTTTTCTATTTTGCCGCCTTTTTTGTTTGCGCTTTCTTCAGGCCGGACTCCGAAGTTTTAAGACGTCATGGACGCCAAGTTAGACCTCTATTTGCTACGGAACGGAGTAAGAAAGGATATTCTAGATGTTTTAGAAAAAGAAGAGGTATGGCCCTATGATTTAATTTGAGTTTGGTGAGAAAAGAAGAACAGCAGGAGAGTTCAAACCCGGAGTTAATATGTCACCGGTTTTCCGACGTTGTTTGAAAATGCATATTTTTTGCAAAACAGTAAAACACTAAAGAGTAAAGACTCCATTTCTTTGCTGACGGCAAAAGAAAGCAACCAAAAACAATTTGCTTCCAATTTCATGTTTGATGTTTAATCAACAGATAGAAAAATATTAGGGATCTTAAGCATGTACGGTGGCAACGCGACGACGACAGCCAAAACAAACATCTTCAAATAAATTATTGCGAAGAAGAGTTGTTGTGTATTATCCACTCAGATGTGTATATGAATTGAGTTCAGTTTGATGAGACTAAAACAAATGTTTTACGGTTAATAAACACGCTTCTGCGAACAAATTTGTAATTTCACTTGTCGCGTCTTGATATGTTTGCGTTGTACACGAGATGTGAAAATCTTTGGTTTGCCGTTGTAAAAAGCCCTAACACAACGTCTCTAAGACTCTAACTCCCGTGGGCTTTTAATTATTCATTTCTTTTGTACGAGATGAAGAATAGCATTGTGTGAATAGCCGTCGTCGTCGCGTTGCCGTCCTGTTTGCTTAAGGTCGCTATTATTAATAAGGCTGTGGAAAGACATCACTGGGGAAAGAACTTTTCTTCCTGAACAGAAGCACACTTGTACAAAATGAACAGCTCAAAAACATAGGTCTCCCGAAAAGGTCTTTTATTTTTCAAAAAAATCCATACAATTTGCTTTAAAATGCAATGCTTTGACATGCAATGCTTCAATGTACAGTAAAACCTCTATAATTTGTATTACATGAAGTACGTATAACATCATAATAGCGTTGCGTCATTATGTAATATATATCCCCAAGGTTGGCAACAAAATACAAATTTAAAACTGTATACAAAAACTTAATGACGAAAAAACTCGTACATAAACATCGAAATTCATTAAAAAAACTAACCCACTATGGTAAGACATAACTTTAGTACTTCTACATTGTGTTTTTTTTTCTTCTCTCATTACTTTAAAACGAGTTAATTTTGCGAAAATTCCATGGAAAATTCATCAAATTCGTAACTCAATTTGATCAAAACTATGCGGGATGATGGCTCCCGGCGCTACGTCACAAAATAAAGCTCTCTGATTCGCTGGGAAATTTCAAAAATTTTCAGCAAATCAGAGAGCTTTATTTTGTGACATAGGAGCCATCATCCCGCATAGTTTGACCAAACTAAGTCGCGAAATTGATGAATTTTCGCAAAATTAACTCGTTTTAAAGTGATGAGAGAAGAAAAAACACAATGTAGAAGTACTAAAGTTATATCTTACCAATGAAGTACTAAAGTTATGTCTTAGTTTTTTTAATGAATTTCGATGTTTATGTACGAGTTTTTTTGTCATAAAATATGTGTATACAGTTTTAAATTTGTATTTTGTTTCCAACCTTGGGGATATATATTACATAATGACGCAACGCTATTGTGATGTTACACGTACTTCATGTAATACAAATTATAGAGGTTTTACTGTACATGGAAGCATTGTATGCATAGAAATAATAGATATAGAATGCGCACTTGATCACGAATCATGTCTCTACTTTTTCTCATGCGTGCCCTTATAAATCCGCCATGTTTGAATTTGACTAGGAGTGCAAACTACAAAGTATAAACAAAGCTAAAACTACGTTTTCATCGTCAAAACGTTTGTCTTGTTGTTTAATTTGCAGTTTGGGGATAGATTTTAAGTTCTTTGAAGGCACAAACTGTCAAAGCAAATGTGCAGTTACAAAAATGGTGAAAATCGTGCAGCCTTGTAAACAAAGTAGTTTCTCGTAAATATATTTTGCTCATAAAACATTTTTGCATGCTCTGAACGTCACTACTGTCACTGTTTTGCTAATATCTTATAAGATTATAAAATTATAGTTCTTTCTTCGTCGGGTTTCGTTTTTCTTGAATGTAAACGACGTTTTCTTATGTTTTTGAAACAAAAATATTTAGTTGTCGATAAACTGTAAATTGCCTAAATAATCGTCGAAAACTATGGTTTCAAAAGCGTTGCCTCAAGCTCAAGCAACGTAGAAAAATATGAAAAGTAGTTGTGTAAGTTTAAAAAGATTATTGAACTTCATTTATATTATAAAAGAGTTGAAATATTTACAGAACATACCTATTGAGTTTGAGTTTGTCTTGATCTTTCGGGTTTTGTTTTGGCTTGCACAACAATGTTGAAAATTTATTTTTAAACGATGATTTCTGTACATATTCGGTTTAGAACTGTTGCTTTTCGTAAAAAAGCCCACTAGAATGGTTTTTAGACACTTTTTTCACTGAGAAAAAATAGGAGTACGCATTCTATATCTATTATTTCTATGATTGTATGTCAAAGTATCGCATTTTAAAGCAAATTGTATGGATTTTTTTTAAATAAAAGACCTTTTCGGGAGACCTATGCTCAAAAACGAAAAAATCTAAAGTCAGAAAAGCAAACGTTTTCAGTTGACTTTTTTTACTGACTATTTATCTATATGTATATGTATACATCTCTTCATATATAACAAATATGAACTGTATTTCAGGGCTAGATTTTAGCCATTAGCCGTGAATGGGTCAACTCACTCAACTAGAGTGAACTAGTCAACTGCAATTCTGCAAACCATTTTACCTAACACGACGTTTTGCAATTCTACACTTGGTTTCTGCCAATTTTGCAATTCTACACTTGCTTTATACATGCTACTTCTTTTAAATAATTTTAGCAAAAATTTAGTGAGAATTTACATCTTTAATTTCTTGGATGCTACTAAACTGCTTTGCATTGGTAGCGTATCAACCATGGGGGGCATTTGATGGCCATTAATTTGGCCTTTTAAAGGTATAGGGCATTTGAACAGATTATTTATAGTTAAATTTTGGTTATTTTCATGTAGATATGTACCACAGACAACCTGCATTGTTCTAGTGATTAACTGTTCAAACTATGTGGCATACCAGCAGGTCAAATCATTAAGATACGTACATGTCTGACAGTGACAACCTTGTTGAACTACAGTGAGTACTAGTATCGGAAACAAGCATGGTTACAGCAGTTCAAAATAGCATTTCAGAAAAATGTGATGATACTCTCACTCACTTAAAATTAGAAACCGCCTCTCATGTGAATCCATTGCCTGCATTCAACACGAACGTACACATCCCCGATGATAAATGGCTTAGTACCTTCAAGTTGCCGATACAGGTACTGTTGGCAAATTGTAGCCATTTAGTATTTTACTCTGTGACTCTGTCTAATCCCTGACAATTTAAAGTGTCAGTGGGCAATTTTAAGTCTTCATCTGCTTTTATGACCTAATTGATTTACTAATTACTAATATATGCATCCACTTTTAAGTTTTCTCCAAGCGTGACAGCAAGCCTCCAAAATGGTTATCCACCAGGAAATGTACGAAATGAATTCACCAGAGATATATGTTCGGCTATCAGAGTTCATACCATGGGGGAGATAGAAAATTAAGTTTATTTCTGATGAACATCAACCAAATATTTGAATGGATACCATTGCTAACATGCAGACTAAATAAAAAGAAAAAAACAGACCATATCTAGATGCATTTATTGTCAAATGCTTAAATGCATGTTCAAATGACTAAACATACGATGTAATGCTAAGACAGTCAGTGTTTATTGGACTGATTTACAGTATACTAGAGACAGATGACCCGTCTGGACAAACTTTAGGTAAAGAAAAGATAGTTTGCCCGATAATTCATCTGTGTATACTTGTTCTATCTGTGTATACTATTCATCTGTGTATACTTAGACAAGCAGACAGATCATATCTGCCAAAGAAACATAAAACCATATATTATATTTAAATATATTCAGAACTTTCCGGAAGTTGAAATACCCGCTCCGGTGCACCCTTAAAGGTGATATGTATGTAATTGGATACTAGTCTATAATGGATACAATATAATGGATACAATGAAATAGATAATAGATCAAATTAAACTATTTTTATTAATTTATATTATAGGCATCGTGGGAACGAGCAATCAAGTACAGATTTAAAAACATGAGGAAGCGTAAGATATCGTTAAGGGCATGTTGTAAAACCTGGACTGGACTTGTAAAACCTGGACTGGACTCAGAACAATACGAAAAACTAGTTTCATATTAATCTAAAACATGGACTGGACTAATTTGTAAAACATGGACTGGACTCATTTGTAAATCATGGACTGAACTCATTTGTAAAACATGGACTGGACTCATTTGTAAAACATGGACAGGACTCATTTGTAAAACATGGACTGGACTAATTTGTAAAAATGGACTGGACTCATTTGTAAAACATGGACTGGACTCATTTGTAAAACATGGACTGGACTCATTTGCACAACATGGACTGGACTCATTTGTAAAATATGGACTGGACTCATTTGTAAAACATGGACTGGGCGGATTTGTAAAACATCGACTGGTATTTTCTTCTATTGATGAATACATTGATATTTTCTTTTATTCAATTTGACCAGACGAAGATTGTTTTTTGTGTCATTTAGTCACTGAGTTCTCAAAGTTAAAGGTGCTGTGCATTGTGCCACCCTTCGAAGAATGTGATTCAGTAGTGTCGGCAAACGTAGAAAAGTTCAAACTTTTTCAATTTTGAAAGGTGTATCAATTATATATTATAAAGACTATAGCTTTACTTAGGTACAACAATATGCAATCTCAGAAAAACGGCTTTTTATTCGATTAGGTATAATTAAAGCCTATTTTTATTTTATTTTTAGAGTTGCTATCTGAAAGGACTGGCTCCCGATAATGGATATTTCACAGTAATATGATGCAGAAGTAATCAAAATTGTCATTTTTCACAATATCCACTAATCCACCGCGTACATCCAAATAAACCCCTTGGAAACCCCCAAATCTATTTTTGTTCCTCTGAAATTGTCTCAAAGAATACAAATTACTTCTGCCAAGCATGTTTTCGCCAAAATATAAACTAGAATTGTTTGTTATTGTTTGTCGTTTTTCTCTCGAGTTAACAAAATGGCAGCCAGTTGACTATTTCTAAGGTAAAACAAACGGCAAATCTAGCCAAATTTGATTGGAAACGATTCACCAAAGAAAAGAATCTGGGAAGTGGCGGTTTTGGAAACGTTTATCTCGGAAAATATGAAGGAGAAATCGAAAAAGTCGTCGTAAGGAAGATGAAAGGTGAAAACTACAACGAAACTCACGTTTTATTAAAGAGGCAAAACTTTTAAACGTAACGCAGGGCCCGAGAAATATAGTGAAATTTTTAGGGTTTTGTGAAGAGCTGGGCTCTATATTGATGGAATACGCGTGCTTTGACTTTGGCCCGTTTGGTATACAAAAACGTGCCAGCACTTTGTCGAACTTTCTTCACCTCGTCGATGACGATTTTGACTTTACATCATTTGCAGAACTGTTGCCAGTATGTGCTAAGGATATAATAACCGGTTTGGAGTATCTCCATAATAAGAACATTGCCCACAAATATCTTAAACCAGCTAACATCTTAGTCTATAACCAACATTACAGTAACCCGTGCCTCATAAAAACTGATTTCAAAACTGCCTACGCCGAATGCCCAATTGTTTGTAAGCTGGCAGATTTCGGTCTAAGTAAATCTCTTGAACTACAAACCATGAGGTAGTTTTGATGTTCAAAACGCAATGCATAGGTCGTGATACTCTCGAATACATGGCACCTGAGATTCATCTGCCAAAACAATCTAGTGTAAACCAGGACGATCTGAAGAAATCAGACATATGGTCACTGGGTATCGTGATGCATCAAATAGTAAACCCAAATGTCTTTGGACCTTAGTTGGACTTTGAACTTTGGACTTTGAACTTGAACGTGCAGGTTTGTACATGTGGTAAATCATACGAATTGTTGTAATATGATTTGTCAGCTTGTACTGTACTGTAATAGATCACCGATGACGTTATAGCGTGAAAAGAACTAAAAAGTACGGCACGAGACGAAGTAGAGTGCCATGACTTTTTGGTCTTTTCACCCTATGGCGTCTTCTGTGATCTATTACAGTACATACGCACGGCAAAATGAAATCTATATACATCAAAAGTGCTCTGAAAAGTTATGTTTGGTTGTGTGACGTATCCGTGATGTATACTCCAATAGCGCACGCACAAGAACCTATGAAATTACTTCATTTATATGAATTATTGTATAAATATATTTATAAGCAATTTAAATGAAGCCATTTCTTTGGTTCTCGTGTGTGCGCTATTAGAGTATACATCACGGATGACGTCACACAACAACAGAACATAAAGATCCAGTTACATGTGCGATTTTTTTCTCGCGCCGGCAACGCAACGCCTTTGCAACGGGTTAAATTTCATTGCGTTGCTCGCGCGAGTGAAGTGGTGACACGAGCAATGATAGCTTAGCTGTGTCGCAACTATTTGCATGAAAAAAATGGGCACAACATGGCGTCGAAGAAAGAACTAGTAGTCATAGCTGCAATGCTTTTGGAATTGCTGGAAGATGACGAGGAGGTTAAAGAAAAGAAACGTATTTGGAGACGGCACTGGCTTCTAGAGAGAAAAAACAAAGGTTATTTCGGTCAGCTTCTTCCCGATCTGGCTGCCCACGACACACCAGGATTTAAAAAATTTATGCAAATGGTTTTGATCATTTCAAAAAGATAGTTGATAATCTATCTGAAACGCTTTACAAGAAATACACAATAATGCGTGAATCAATCAAGCCAGCAGAAATGTGTTGTTTAACGCTTCGATATTTGGCAGCGCTGCAGCACGCTGTCCGTACAGAAGCGAATTTCATTGGCTATCTTAAAATAGCCCATGCGTTTCCTGCTCAAACAATGCCTGGGTAATTCGATATTTTCGGCAATCGTTGCCGAAAGTTCAAGCATTTCAACTTTCCGTAACGATTGCCGAGAATATCGGGTTGCAATTGCGTTACCGCGCCTGATATGTTACACGGGCAATTTCATCACTCGCGCGAGTAACGCAATGAAATTTAACCAGTTGCGTTGCCGGCGCGAGAAAAAAATCGCATGTGTAACTGGACCTTAATTTTTCAGAGCACTTTTGATGTACGTTATGAAACTTTAGGAAATATACCTTACGACTTTATGAAATGTAGTACCAAAACTTCAAAATTCAGTGGCTTAGTTTCTTTGTAATGTTTTTTTTATTGAAGGTAAAACGTCAGCCGCGCAGATACTAACTTCACTCATAAAAAAGGAACCGGACCAGCAAAGGTCTGCCACCATAACCAAAGAAGGTATAACAGTCGTCTTTTTCTTGACAACATTCGTATAGTAACAAACGCACAAGGGCACAACACTGGCCCCAGACATTTAGTTTACCACATACTTTTCTTCATTTACATCATTATTTTTTACAATAGGGAATGCCATCGGGCAAATGAAGGTCACCGATAAGCCTTCTGTTGACTTAACAGATTTCAGTGACAACGATTGTGCAATGGTAAGTTACCGAAAACCAATCCACTGATTAACCATCAAACGCCTAGTCACATGGCCGTATGTCTAAATGGAATCAGGCAAATACATCTATACACTGTAAATTTCAAGGAGTTGAAATAACTTCAAAAGTGTTATTCTATGATGATAACAATCTTTATTCAGGAGGCATTCTCACAGAAGTGATTTTCAGAATGGACCTGTACTATAGAACTAGTATTATACAAAGTGAAAAATATTATATCTAATCTATTTACATGTGGTCAAAAGTAAAAATATCATAAATTATCTATCATTACAATAGTATACTTGCTGAACTGGTAAAAGTTTAAAAGTTTAAAAGTCGAGAAGAACAATAGTACATCATGGCCGACAGTCAAAAACTTTGGATTTAAATTGAGATATTGTCTGGGCATTTTGACAATCCGACTCAAGGTTGTTATAGTCATACACAGCATGATAAGTGACTTTATGTTTACCCCAATTTGACCTTGTCTTGGGTAAATGAAGAAAGCAACTCTGTCGAGTATTATAATTATGAATACTGCTATTATATACTAGATTAAAGTCAAAGTTTATGTGATTATTTAAACATTTAAAAATTAAGATGCATCGATGGGCACGTCTTCTTTCACTCAGTCGTTTCCATTTTAAAGTTGACAGAGCCTCTGTTGACGAAAAGGATATTGGTTTGTTCAATATAATTTTTGCTGCTTTACTTTGTTGGACTTGTAAATCGTTCATCAATGATATATTGTTTTTGTCACCCCATATCACATCCCCATAGTCAAATAAAGGGAGAACAAGGCAACTAAAGAGTGTCAGTCGGGAATCAGTTGGTAACAAATGTTTGATTCTCTTAAGCGGGCCCAATCGCTGGTTTGTTTTCGAAATAATATTCTCGATATGGTTGCTCCACGACAAATCTTCATTGAAAGTCACCCCAAGATATTTCAACGAATTCACACGTCCGACTGCCTGATTATTCACTTTTATGGAGATGCTATTAAATGATTTAAGCCGTTGTTTACTTCCAAACAGAAGGAGTTTTGACTTCTCACAGTTAAGCGTAAGCAAATTGGATGAAAGCCATTCCGCAACTGATTGAAGGTCTTCGTTTAGAAAAGTTTCAACTTCATTAGCCGTTTTTGCAGAAACATAAATCAAAGTATCGTCCGCGTAAAGTATGACTTTGCAATGTTTAATACAGTGCTGGAAATCATTCACATAGACCAGGAATAGCAACGGTCCCAATATGCTCCCTTGATATATGGTCCCAATATGCTCCCTTGTTTGGTGACAGAATAACACTTTTTGGAGTCGATTCAACTCCTTAAAGTTTACAGTGTATTTTCCAATAAATTATGGTGAAAAATTAACGAAAACCATTAAATAGTGACAAATACTTATATACTTCCTACAATTTTATAGGATCCTTACACGAAATTTCTGACTAGTTTTCCGGATAGAATAGTTGGGCGACAAAGCGAAAGCAGAAACAAAAAGTTTAGAACGGTCAGTTCTTAACAATTAAACGAAACCTTTTTCGATATTGTGGAGATCATGCAGGCAAAAATCAATATATCTTAATAAAATACATTAACAGAATTTAAATGAAAACGAAGATGATAATAATCGGTCATCTGAAAAGCGAAAGGACTCCAGTCAGGGAATCGACGATGAAGGTATACTATGGCTGTACTAATGGTATGCACCTAAATTTATCGTCAGAATGGCCACATCGAACTAAGTAACGTAAAGGTTGATACAACATACTGTATGAAATTTTTATCTTATTTTACATCAGGTTATAACGAGCTTAATTAATGACCCAAAATGAAACCCATTTACACCATAAAACCTTCAACTACTATATTTTAATACATTAGAATATGTGTATATTGGTCATGTTAGGTCATACTTTATCAAATTTTCTGAACTAGCTACATGAACCTAAATGTAAATATCTCAAAATCCAAGACCAAGATGTCTGCTCAGTTTGTCCTTAAACAGGGGAAGAAGAGAAAACAAAATTTCTCTTCTGCGGAATGTGCTGTGCTAATTGACCTGGTGGAGAAAAATATAGACACATTATGTAGCCAATTTTCCAGCTCCATAACTAATTCTAATTAAGAAACAAGAGTTGTGGAAAACTATTGCTTCCCGTATCAACAGCCTTGGATATGAGAAGCGTACACCAAGCGAAATACGCGATAAATGGCGAAACTTGACACGAATTGTAAAGAAAACCAATTCATGGATAATGCAATCCCAAAGAAAAACCGGTGGAGGTCCTCCAGTCAAACCTGCATCTGGTACAACGGAAAAATCATTAATCTTTTGGGCGATGAGCCTTCCTTTTCGGGTATTCCGGGAGGCATAGAGTCTCGTGGTGTATCGTCCCGTTCAAGTAGACTTATAAAAAAGTTTCATTGTTCACTTGGTCATTAAATTAAACAAGTTACTGTAGTTTGTCCAATAGTGTCTGCTTACAAGACTCAGTAAAAATATTTTGTTTATTTACACCGCAAATATTAAATTGAAATTTTCCCGCCAAATAAGTCGATCACCACATTTTGAGTGTAAAATAGTAGGCCCTATTTTAATTTTACACAAATATAGGCCTACAGACCAACCTACCCCAGAAATTTCTTTCACCCACCGCTATAAAGTAGTCGAAATCGAAACATTGGAACGGACGACCTGACATAGTTAATTACTTTTTTTTTTTATTATTATTTAAGCTTATTTATTCACGGTAGCCTTTCAGAAGCCTGTTTTTCAAAGGGCCGTGCACACTTACTATAAAATATTATAAGAATATTAAAATTATTAACTAAAAAAAAACAAAAAATAAACAATCATGCATAATATACTCTATTTACATCGGCAAGGCATAATGCTTTGATATGGTTTGGCAGGATGACCTCCCAATTCAAAAACACAAGCCATCTATTAATTTTTTAAAAGAACAGATGGAAGTTTCAGGTATTTCCGTAATTGGAAGGTTTTCCATTAACATTTGGTTCCATGAAACTGCTCCTCTATAGGAGAAGCTTCGTTTTAAAAAATTCGTCTTAGGTTTTGGTAGGTAAAGCTTTTGATGATTATTTCGTAGATGGTAGGTTTGGTTAACGGAGACATGAAACATCTGTGTTAAGTATTCTGGAGCCATACCCCTAAGTGCTTTAAATGTCATCAATAATTCCCTCTTTTTTAGTATCGATTGTATTTTTGTCCATTTGAGCATTTGAAAAATTTCAGAAGATCGTTCTTCTAAGCCCGAACTGGTAATGACCCGTGCTGCACGCTTTTGCAATTTGAGCATTTTTTCGGCGTGCATTTTATTACCATCATACCATATAGTTGAACAATAATTGAAATAGGGGAGTACAAATGACTTATACATCATCTGTAGTGTTGCTTGAGGTACGTAAGGCTTCACTTTTCGTAACATAGCTATAGAACAAGAAATCTTTTTAGTTTGTTTTTCAACATGTTTTGTCCATTGTAATTTATCGTCTATTTCTAAGCCTAAGACCTTTTTCTTGTAAACCCGTTTAATTATATGATCTCTAATTTTAATAATAGGGTCATTTCTGATCTGTTTTAAGCGCTTTCCTGAGCCGATTAGCATATACTCGGTTTTTTCTTCATTTAATGTTAATTTGTTTGCATCTAACCAAGTCTTAACGTTTTGGATTTCCACCCCCAATTTGTATTCAATTTCAAAAGAAGACTCCCCAGTTGCAGTTAAGCTTGTATCATCAGCAAACATGGCGGGTTCAGTTATTTCTAAACTATTTGGCAGATCATTTATATAAATTGTAAACAGAAGTGGCCCAAGGTTAGATCCTTGTGGGATGCCGCATGTAATATTTTGGAAGGTTGATAGCGAGTTATTTACTTTGCAAATTTGTTTCCTGTTACTAAGATATGATTGAAACCATGACAGTGCTAATCCACGAATTCCATAACATCCCAATTTGGA